TCAATGAAAAAACAAGATGAAGACAAAGATAAGAGAGATAAGGAAGAAAAAGAAAGCAGCAGAGAAAAAAGGGAGAGGTCTCGAAGCCCAAGAAGGTACTATATAAAGAAAGTGTACCTAAAGCTTTATAGGTGTTTTAAGTCTTAAATTCTGTGATAACAGACGTCTCACAGTTAAAAAGGAAGCACTCTAGGAACATTGAGGTGTCCATTTTAACGGTTGATGTATAATTCACCTCTATACCAAAAGAATCTTTTGTTTGAGGCAGGTCGTTAGTCTAAAATCCTGTCTAAAGTCTTATTATCTAGCTCTTAATTTCTAAATGAAAATTTAGAGATTTCCTATATTGCTTTAGCTTAAGTATGACACTTAATTTTTTCTGGCTCTTTCCTTTCCATTGCCTTTTTGTTAGAAATCTGTACTCAATCATTCATATAATACCTAATTCCCTGTTTTGCTTTCCTTAGATAGTTGTACTGAACCCAAACTTCAGATCATTTATTTATTTTCTTCCTTCCAGTGAGATTATTGTTAGGTTCACATTTTTAATCCACAACTCAGTTTCTGTATTTGTGGTAAAAGGTGAGAATTCCATTAGACTTTTCATATTTAGGGTTTTTTTTTCTTGTTTCTTTCATAAATTTGTTAGAATTAGTACAAAAAGAGAGAAAGCAGAACATTCTTTGTCCCTTCCAGTTGTTTATGGTGTTGAACAATTTAAGAAAGTCCTATTAAGTACTATTTCTAGAGTTGAACACTGGTCCTAATGGTAAGAATTTAACTATTGATAAACTTGTTCTTGTTGCACTTTAAATAGAAAACACCACTTTCAGGTTAGCCAAAGTCTTATTAAAAGGGAAAGAGGGTTTTTTCCTCTTCTTCAAGATGTAACTTTTACAAGTTACGTATTTTTCTTTTGAAGAAAATACAGCTTTAATTGCACCAGTTATGTTTTTGGTATGTAGAACCTCTGCCGATAACATGTCTGTATCTGAACACTACTGTGTTAGGATTGATTATTTCTATTATTTTCTGAGAAGTTAATCCAAGTGATTCCTGGGGATGATTAAGAAGCTAAGTTTAGAGTGAAAGTCAGTGCTTTTCTTCTTGTAACTGACACATGAGAGGATGTTACCTTTCATTTGCTTGAGCTCTGGTTTTCTTTTGGTCCTTTCTCTATCAAGTAATTAGTAGATATTTTCTTTATGTAACTTCGCGGAGTAAACAGTAGTGGTATAATTTAAAAGGTTAATCTTTCTCCCTTTGATCTCTTCCAATCCATGTTACTTAAAAATTTGAAAAAATTACTTTTATTCTAGACGCAAATCCAGATCTCCTTCCCCTAGAAGACGATCTTCCCCTGTCAGGAGAGAGAGAAAGCGCAGTCATTCTCGATCTCCCCGACATAGAAC